ATTAATGGTGACTAAAACAGTTATAATATTGTGAATTAAATTCAGTTATTAGAGCTTCCTTTAATGCTAATATTAATATAATTTATTTTAGCACGACAGATAACATTCATCACTCACCAGGTCCATGATCCTTTTCTTAATACTTAGTTTGTCTAATTACTTAATGCTCACAACAGCACATCCTTGATCAATTGTACCATTTTGTTTCTTTCACTAGTTTCTGATGATCGAGAACTGGTTATGTTTAGTACTGAGTCATCACAGGAGACAATAGGTAAAAATGTTCCCAATGGTGTGTCAAGTCTACGTGCTTTTCCATCTCGTTGCAAACATCGCCTGTGGATGTCTTCATGCTTTGTGACATTTCACAGTCACCTGCTCCTCAAATTTCTCTGTGCTTATCCAATGGGTCTAAAAAGCCACCGTGCATAGAGCAGATCATGCTAGTTACATCAGCTGTTGCCATGCGTGCTTCATAATTTCCTTAGTTTCCTCTCACCAAATAAAAATTTTAATTTTAGAATTCTGATCACTCTTAATATATGTACATACATGAATGTGTACATATATCACTTCCATATCATTTTTAAGCTTCATCTCTGTGTTTTTGAAGGACTCATTCTGTAGCTCTTTTCTTACTATAATATTTATGCAAAAATATGTGAGGAAATTAAATTAGGTCCTTACTCCAGCTTGTAATTTCTATAATAGACCCCACCAGTTGTGTGTGTGTGTGTGTGTGTGTGTATGTGTGTGTGTGTGTGCACATGTCTCTGGGTGTATGTGTGTGTTTCTCTTTCCCACCCAGCAAACTGCCTACATTCCTTACCTTCATTTTTACCCTACTAAACTATATTAACTCCAATAATATAGAAGAGTGTTAGTTATCCTCTAGAATGTATCTGCTAAATATAACTAATCTGTGCTTTCAAATTAAATTCAGGGTTCCCTGACACTCTGCTTTGCTCTGCCCATCACTAACCATTCTCTGTTTCTTCCCAGCACCAGCTGAAACAGATTATGTATATCCCACTACTAGAGAACTCCTCAGGCCAGAGGAGCCAAGGACTGAAGGTGGTAAAGGTTTTCATGCTATAACTTACTTCTTCTATTACTTAAACTGTGGTACTTGAACAGGTTTGAAAAGCTGTTGCTTCCAATCCACCCTTACCCCTTACTAGGGTTCAAACCTAAGCTCCCACACTTGTCATGTGCTTTACTGCTGAACTATACCTCCAACCCTAAGGCTTCCGTATTCTTAAAAAGTAAAAGGGTAACTGACTCTCTGAAAACAATTTATTTCTCTGTTCATGTTTAAAGATCAAGGTTTAATAACGTTTGAAAGTTACTTGGTGATAAATTATGAAAAATAGAGGTTTAATAACATGAAATAGGATTTCCCTCCTTTTTCCTATCTAAAATACATTGTCCTATCTGTGAAATCATGACATAAATTCTTGGGAATGAGATTTCAGATATTTAAGAAATACTTGATAGAGCTGAACATCTTGCAATTTTTTAAAACCGGTCTCCTTGTTTTGATACAGTTGTGGAGTCTATTTCGCATGTGTCTGAGTTTCCTGAGACGACACTCGGTAATGACAACCTCAGCAGTTCACTGCATCATCACCCGAGAGTCTCGGGGTCTTACTCACGGCAAATTCATGCTGCCATTTCTTTCTTCTTCTAGCACTCAATTCTTATTCATAACCATTGTCGAAAAATGTCCTTCCGTGTGCACCAAGATCTTAGTCTCTTTCTATTCTAATGTCAGTCAAACTGCTGAATGTAAAGCATCTCTTTTTCCTAATACTGAACTTAAAGCCAGCTTGGTATTCTGTTTAATGTTTCAGTGTCATGATCCATTTGTACTCTTTGACCTAGAAGTATGCTTTCCATTAACAGTCATTCCATCATATTGCTTTGACATGTTTGATTCTTTGTCCCTTGTCATTCAAGTGAAAGTCTATACTTCTTAACCGACTTGTGCAATGATTTTTTAAATTACCTTTCCATTCACAGGATATTAAATATATCTTTAGATGAATATATATTAAATATATCTTTCAAGAATTGTTGAGGAGATGAAGACTTTAGATGTAATGATATTAGCTGGACATGGTGGCACACACCTTAACTCCCAGCTTTTGGGAAGCAGAAGCATCTGGATCTTTCTGAGATTGAGGCCAGCCTGGTCTACATATTAAGTTCCAGATCAGATGGGGCTACAGAGAGACCCTGCCTCCAAAAATCAAAAAACAAAACAAAGTAATGATATTACTTATCTCAAAAGTATTTTGAGATCTGGCGTCTCTATTTTTCAATTAAATGAATTGTGAAGAAGTATAGGAATTCTGTTTTCCTGAAAATTAACCATTTAATTTTTGACATCTATTTGTCACCATCCTGCCTGTTGTTTGTAATCAGAATGGGTCTAGCACTAAAGTAACCCCACATACTTTCCTTCAATTACCATAGAAACATCACCTCTGCCTTCCCAAACTATAATCCTACACAGACCAGCTGAGCCTCACACTGAACCTGGTAAATACACTATTTTGTATTTCATACCTGAGGTGAGTGTTTACAGAATGACTACATGACCTGTTCTTGCCATCAGATGCCCTGACAATATCACTCTGTTCAACCTTTGTGGGTGAGCTTGCCTTTCCAATGTACGGCCTCTCTGTCTGTCATCAGTAATCTCTCTATCAAATGATGATGTGTATATCTTTAGATATACACATTGAAAAATACTTCACTACTCTTCAAATTTTTAATTCAGGAAATAGGAATGTTTAGGGAGAAGGGCATTTATATTCTATTTAAAATATATATATTAATTTGAATTACCTTATCATCTCGACTATTTTTAAAACTTCTGTAAAATAGTATTTCAAGATAACTGATTTATGTTTGAAATTATAAAATACCTACAGAAACAGATTGTGCTGTATGATCCTCATAAAGGGATGTCCTCATATCATTACTCAGAGGCCTCACAAATTTCTACTTTTTTCAGTAGTCTGACATTTCACATATACACATAAAGAAACTGAGATGTTGGTGAATGTTGGTAATCATCATAAAGGTTTCCATGATGATAGAGTTTGACATAAATGAAAGCAGATCACCCGAGTGGATAATGCAATACCTCTTCTTACATAAAGCAATCCTCTCAATATTCATAGGTTTCCTTGGGACTGAAGGTAATGGTAAATAAGCCCAAACTTCTGTTTTGAGTTACTGGACTACTTTTAAGCCAGGCATGGTGCTCATGCCTGTAGTCCCAGCACTCTGTGAGGCTGAAGCAGGAAGACTGCTGTAAGTTGAAGGCCAGTCTTGGCTGTATGGTGAGAGACTACCACACACCCCTTCTCTAAAACACCATTTTTTATGGCTCTATTTCTAAAGGAGATAGGAATACTAATTTTGCTCATTGTATTCTTAAATACTTATTAGTTTTGCCTGTAAATGTGCAGTTTTTTCCCAAAATTCTATAGACTATGTGAATGGAATGTGTCTTATATCAGCTACAACTACCTTTGCCAAAGATTTTTTTCAATAGCTCTAATAACATTATTAAAGTATCTAAATTATAAATACTATCTGTGATTTTTTTCTTTACTTTTTTTGTTTTATGAGACGAGGTCTTGCCATGTAGCCCAGGTTGGCCTGGAATTCATGATTGTCTTGCTTCAGCCTCCATAGTGCTGGGACTGTAGGTGTACACCACCATGTCTGGCCTACTGTCAGTGATACCATTTTCTTAGAACTGCTTTCCTAACAGGCCTTTGTCTTCACACGGTCTTGGGAAGCAAATGCCGCATCAGTTAGGAGCTCAGCAAGCAGGGAGATGGAAAACCAGATAGTCACTAACAAGATGACTAAGCATTCATTTGGGGATTAGAAAGCTTCTTAAAAATCATGTGAGTGGGCAAAGTATGAAATTAGAAGCTTAAAAAGAAATTGTGTGAGATTTGGTGGAGAATGTGTCCATGGACCCTGATTAGCAAAGGGTACTCTAAACTTCCAGGTTAGTAAGTCAAAGTAATCTCCCATATATCTTGGTATTCCTCTCTCTACAGGCAAGAAGAATCTGCTGGAAGCACTGTATCCCTTGCATCTTTTCATTATTATCAGGAAGAAGACTCTGCAGACCTATGCAGAAACTTCCAGCATCGAATAACTCATTTTCAGTACATTTTTCTTAACGTTTCTGAAACTACATAACATTAATACTCTTTTGTTTCTTATCAAAGTTCTAATGTGTAATAGTTCTTATTTTCAGATTTTTTTTTCATTAAGGTGTCTGAAACTGCATGGCATTGATGTTGTTCTGATCTCTCCATGTCCTAAACACATTTCAGTGCACTTAATGAGGTGTTCTCAGAACACCTTGCATCTAGATAATTCCTTTCCTTTTTTGGATATACCTGTTCCTTACATTGATTTTTACATTGAATGTTCTAGAATTTCCTTAAGGTTTCCCCAGAAAAGAAATAACACTCCTCAGAAAAGTATCTTTGGTATTTACTTTTTCTTCATCAATATAACCAATAAAATAGTGTTTGTTTTTCCACTAGGACTTGCTACTTAAATCACGCTATGTTTTGATTTCCAACATGGTAACTTTTATTTTGGAAAAAATGAATTTATATTTAAAGAGTACACCTGGATATTTCTGATAACATATGAATTGGTAATAAGATCAAGTCATGCTATTTTGAACTTTATTTTTAGCTTATTTAAAAAGCGTTTGAAATAGATATTTCTGAAATTTGAATACTTCTTTTCTCTCAGCTGAATACTTTGGATGTCATTTAATGTACCTCTTTTTTCCCTGTGAAAACAATCTTCCTCTACTTTGTAGCTCTTTAGGCATTTTAACAGCAATTGCTGCCATTATTGGTCATTAGTGACTCAGCAAACACCTTTGAGCTTCTAGAGAGTACTATGGGCTCCAGGGCTCTGAACCTGTGAAACTGTCTTTCTTTTAGCTCCCCGGCAGATGCCACACATTCCTCCCAAGCTAAAAACACCACGCCCAAGAATCCCACCAACACAGCGAGGTAAATATGAATTTTATGCTTTAGCTTCATATAATATAAGGCTTCCTTTGTAACCTAAAATGTGTTTATATATTTCTAGACTTGATCAAAAAGTTTATCACTGGGTGAGCTCATTCTGCAAACTTTCCTAATATTATTTAAGATAGAAATGACCAAGAATAGAATTCCTTAGAAAGAAGAGCCTACCTCCTTCCTTTTCCCTCTTCCTAAACCTTCCAAGGTCCCAGAATGTCCCCCACCCCTGCCAGTCTCCCAGTTTAGATGATCACTAATCTGAGTCCTGCCAACAAAAATTATCTGAAGTACACCTACCCACTATCCCAGGAAAGGAATTTCACTGTTGCGGATGGTCTGGAAAAAATACATAGCAGCATCAGCATTACTCTTGATTCAGGTAAAATCTAGACTCCTAACAGGAAAAACTTAAACAATTTCAGGCTCTCAGCTATGAATATTGGTTTAGGTATGGCCTCTAATGTTTGATACTGTTTATTATTATTCTTTTAAGGAAAATTTATTAAAAGACTATTCTATATTCTATATCTGCCTAATAATTTAAGTCTGTCTCATTTATGTAGTATTAAATCTCTTCATATTAAATACCAAACTTTGTTATGAAAATAGTATTTTTGATACATAAAGGTATGAAAGTACCAATGTACCATTCCCCCAAATAATAGGAAATTTTAAATAGAAATATTTAGAGCATTGAGATATATATAGAGTCCTGATAAAATGCTTAATGATTAACAAATAATAATTAGTGAGCACAAGTGGGACAAAATATAAAAAATTTTAAAGTAACATTACATAAGCAAGGTATATTACATTTGTTGGCAGAAAATTTAAAATCTATAAAAATGAACAGATGTTAAAATTGCATGGACAACAGCTCTCAAGATTTTCATTTGAACATATAGCACAGGATAGGAGTAGTAAAGAAGACATGGCAAATTAAAAATATTGATGAACATTGGAAAATAAAAAGCAAAACAAGAATACTAAGAATTAAGACTTTCAGACTATAAATTCCTGATTAAGAAATTAGTAAAGGATGGAGCTTGAGAGATGGCTCAGCAGTTAAGAGCACTCGCTGCTCTTGGAGAACACCCAGGTTCGGTTCCCAGCATCCATAGGGGGCTAAGAACCATCTGTAATTCCAGTTCTAGGGGATCCGATGCCTTCATTTGACCTCTATGGACACTGCATGACCTAGGTGTACTTACATACACTCATACACATAAAATGCAAATGAAATTTTCTTTTTTAAAAGAAATTCATAAAGGAAATATAAACTAGTAGGAATTATTTATTCATGATTTTATCTTTCTGAATTTTTTATGTCTATAAAATGTAGTATAATAAATCAGGAGCTTGCTCTAATTTCCCATTATTATATGTAAATTGTAAATTGGTTTAATTTTAAATTTAACCTTTCACTAACACAAAACATACAATCTCAGAATGAATAGACCTGATTCAGTGCATTTACTGTCACTCTGGAACCCTGGAGGAGCCACCAAACTGTAGAGAGGGAGCCTCGTGGTTTTGTTCCAACGGAGGCAGCTTTCTGTCCACTGGCCTTTCTAGGGGAAAGTAGCTTCAACCCAGATACTTCCGACTTCATGGGTGGCACTTAATGTAATGGAAAACTGACGGTGAAAGTCAAAATTTGATTTTTTTTTGGGGGGGGTCTCTTGAGACAGGGTCTACCTGTAGCCCCAGCTGTCCTGGAACTCACTATGTAGACCAGGCTGGCCTTGAACTCACAGAGATTGGCCTGCCTCTGCCTCCTGAGTGCTGGGATTAAAGGTGTGCACCTCCACGCCCGCCTTGATTTTTCTTTTTTTTTAGGTGTCAAAATTACCATCACTCCCTCTCAAAATAAGAGCATGATTCTTTCAAAATTGGTCCAAATAATGTACAATATTTTTATAGTCTTTCAAGGGTATGTGTATGTACACATAAATATAGTAAAGTATACATTTTATTTAGTGTGTATGTGCATGTGTGTGTGTTTGTATGTGTATATGTATTTGCACATATGTGTGCCACTGCACAAAATGTGGAAGTCAGAGGAAAATTTAAGAAGTTGGTTTCTCTCATTCCACCTTATGGGTCCTCAATGTCAAACTCAGGTGGCCAAGCTTGGTGGCAAGCACCCTACTAGCAAAGCCATCTTATAAGCCCCATAAAATGTCTTAAAAACAAATACTCAGACCTTAGATCTTAGTTCCTTCTCTTACCTTTGACTACTATGAATTTCAAGAGAACATCTACACGAAACAATATTCTGTTCATATGTAGAATGTCAGTGTAAGTTATGTAGAGCAAATTGCCATCTAACACTAGTGTGTGTACAGTACTCAGCATGATACAATTTTGTTCATCCATCCTTTTTTGTTGTTTTGTTTTGAGAAAGGGTATCATGGCATAGCTCTGGCTGGCCTGGAACTCACTACATAGATTGGACCATTTTTTTAGCATAAAATTCTGCAGTAGGCAGATTGTTTTCTTTCCATTTTAACTTAAAGTATGCCTGTAAATTAAATTGTAAAATTCAAATTTGTAATTGACATTTAAGGGTAAAAGAGAATTGAGAACAAATCATCAACATTATTTTATAAGCCAATAAGAAATCCAAATTTAGAGTTTTGTGTTCAAAGGTAATAATGATCTTGTATTAATTTTATATGTAGAGATCTGACAACCATCAAAATTATGGCTGTCTCTAGCTTTCCATAGAAGTAAAAAAGATATGAAAGCTGGTTTATAGTCAGATTCTTTAATGCCAAGTTATAAAGGTCCTTGGGATGTAGAAGGAACTATAGGAACAATACTGTCACAGCATTTTGACATTTTACACTTGGGTCTCACATTCTCTGTCCAGGCCAGGGTTGTTATTCCAGCTAAAAGTAAAGAGCAAAGTGAAATCTGATCTGAAGAACTGGGATGTGAAAAGCCCAGGATCTTTTGTAATACTCATGTCTGATGCTTGTAATTTGCCGCAATTCTTAACTCTGGTTCTTAATAATCATATGATCTCAACACAAATCAAGCAAGCATATCCAGAAAGGATTAACTTAAAATACTGTCTGCTCTGAAACAAAGATTTGAAAATGTCATCCTTCCCTGATAATTTGTCAAATGTGATTTCTCAGGCTTCATTTTGAAAACAACAAAGGAATTTTCATTGAACTTCTCACTGATCTATTTCTAAGGTTTATGGTTTACCTTTCTGTAAACAGTACTGTTTTGTTTTTGTCAGGACTCAAGCTTATTCCTCGTAGGGCCTGATGTGTTCAGCATGACTGAGAGACGCTGAACCCAAATGACTCACTGTCTGAGTTCTCTCTCTTCCAGTTCCTAAAGGGTCCCGGCATACCACTTCAAAACCAAAACTGTCACCAAGTCCAGAAGTGTCAGACACTGTACCTGGTAAATAATGTATTTCCTGTTTAAGCCAAATGAATTCTGTTGTGCCACTCAGTTGCACCGAAAGAGCTGATGCATGTGTGTGTGGTCAGTGTTTCACTTATGTTCAAAGATCCTCTTCTATTGTGAGGTCTCATCTTTGGAAGAGATGTCTCAAGAGCTGTCCAGTTGCAGATGTAGTCAAGCTGATATTATAATAAAATAATAGAGAATTATGCCAAGGGCAGAATGTTTTCCTAGAACTAAAGATCTCTAATTCTTAGCTCACAATATTAAAGAAAAATCTTGACAATGCTACCCTTACTATGCTCAAACTTTTCACCAAACAAGAAAGTAAGTTTGTTTTGTTTCCCCCAAAATATGATAAAATGGTATGTTACAAACAAAGCCTTTACTTGTATTCATAAATTTTACTGTATGCAGATTTGAAAGTTTTTTTTTCTCCTGTAAAATTCCATTTTTTAAATTTAGGGAACATTACCTGGGATTAAGAATCTCTCTTTTGCTCTCTCTCTCATTTTCACTCTCATACACATATGTACACACACAAATATTTTATAGGCTGAGGGTATAGCTTACTTGTGTGAGGCCTTAGGGGCTCCCTAGAACCCTTCCCACCTCCCCAAAAGAGTAAGCTAAGGATCTATTTTTTAACCTATCATTGGAGAAACTTATTGTTTACTTAAGAGTAGAGTAATTTCATATCTGTGATGGTATCCAGGGTGGAGACCAAAGAGTCTAGACATCATGGGCCTGATGTCTTACGTGAAATCTTCAAGTGGCCCTAGGAAGACAAATTATCTTGAACTAGTCAAGCTAATTTTAAAGTCAGGACTCTGGGAAGTACAATAAATTTTCTCTCTCTCTCTTTTCACTCTGTAATTATTACAAATTTCTACATGCTTCTAAAATGTATAGACTATTCCTAAAACCACAGAATTTATTTCTAAGTAAGTTTGGAGTTCTGCTATTCTGGAAGCAACCTTGAATCCACTTGTTTTCATGACAGAGGATGTTACTGCTGCTGTGGCAAGTCATGCCATAGCTGATTGTGGTGCCCAGGGAAGGATTCTTTGCCCCAAAGATGAAAATTTACATCTGTTTCACTAAACACAGCATCCAATATAGAGCAAGAAAGCAGCTACTATTCCAATTTTCCAAAAGTCAATTTATTTTCAACTGTAGAGAAAAATTATAACAGAAAATGAGTCAGTAGATTTGAGTTCAATGATTTAAAAAAAAAAAACCTTCATTATAGAAGACATATTGTTGGTTTAATTTCATTACAGCATATCAGTATATCAAATAGTGGGGTTCTTTTTCTGTTTAATGGTTAATGTTTGCCTTAATTCCACCAACTTATTTCCAAGAGAAATTCTTCTGACCCGGTTGAACACATGCCCTCCCTTGGGGCATTCTTTAGCCTCTTCCAATTCTCCCACTCTAGATCTGTCTAGGAAGAATAATTTTGAATCACAAGAGAAGGACTCCCTGACAGCAGAGAGGGGCCATTTAACTTGGAGTCAAAGCCCAGGGGTCCTGGCTCAACAAAGCTCTGTCTTCTTTGTGCTTCCATCGCTATACAAAGAGCTGTTTTGGCTTGTGTGGTCATCTTCTGGCCACTAGGCTTTTGGATAGATTCCACTCACTGGGAGTGATAGGAAAGAACATCCAGATTTCAGTAAACTACCCAACACTCCATAAATGTTCTCTGTCTCTGCTCCTTCTGGTATATTCTTATTGTTAGTCTTACACTTCAGTATTTTTGGAGTATGTTTTCAATTAAATAAGCTTTTTTTGTGTGAGCTAATTAAGAATGAGTAATTCTAAACAATTTCCTAAAACTTGAGCCCTGTTATTTTAATTATTTATTTTTATTATATTTTAAAATATTTCCTGGTCTGTGTGATGGAGAAGCCTGAACAGAGACATTGAGCATAGGAATGCATCTTTTTTTCAATGTAGTATTAGAACAATGCAATCAGAAATAAATAAACAAAGACAATAGGGAATAATTCCCATCATTGTTTTCATCAAAATAGGAGCCTGGATGAGCTGGGTATAAAATTGTCTCCTTGAAATTCTACTGTTATTGCCAATCTCGACTATTTCAGGAATATTACCATGATCTTCTGGCGTATTTACCATTGTTTCCCCAAAAGGGTATATTATTTGATGTTGTTTGTTAAAATAAAATAAATTATCACATGTAAGAATTCAAATCAGAGCCTGACTTAATAGCCAAGTCCTGTAATCAATCTCATCTAGTCTAGAAGCTGAAGTGTAAAGATTGCCAAGTCGAAGGCCTGTCTGGGCCACAGAGTTAATTCAAGGCTGCTTCATGAGACCCTGTCTCCAATTTTAAAGTGTAGTAAAGGGGAAGCTACGGATATGGTTTAGTGGTAGAGTACTGACCTAGCATACACAAGGCCACTGATTTCGATCCCTAGTACTAGTAACACACACACACACACACACACACACACACACACACACACACGAAATAAATTCAAATAGAGTTATGAGCAGTTCTCTGATGTGCCTGATGACATATGAAATATCAACATGTTTTTGAACCAAGTTTTAGTAACTCAGAACTTTCCTCTTTTCCTCTAAACTTTTTTATGCCATTCATATGACTAATAATTTTTGCCATTTATATAATGTGGTCAAAATGACTTATTAAGTCAAATTTTAATACTAATTTAAAACTCCCAGTAAAATAAATGGATTTTTTTTAGGAGAGGCCCATTGAGCAAAGTGGAATGAGAGTTTACTGTGAGTGCCTATTTCTCCCAGATTTCCTATCAAAAAATAAACCAATGGATGCTCAATTCAGTAAGTAAGGGTTGCCTTTTATTTTCCTGGTTTTGTGTTTAGTGATATAGGAACAAGAAGACAATTATATGTCATTGCTATAATCCAACACAGTGTAGTAGGAAAAATAAGAATACAAATAACAGTAAAGCAAAGCAAATCTTAATGATTAATGAGCTAATAATAATAAACAAAATACAATTAGATATCAGCAAGGAAAGTAGTAAATTCTAAATGAACACATTGGAAAAGTCATCACCAGAGAAAAGAGCTTTAAAATGAATTATAAAATATAAGTATTGGACCTATTGATAACTTATAAGGGAGCAAATATACAAGGATATTTAAAGTGCTCAAAACAGCTGAGAAGTTCAGAATGAGTAAAAGAATAAATTATCTACTGTATGAGTAGGATTAGTAGGAAGTGAAGGCTTGAGAGTTATGAATCCTTGCCACACGCCCACCTGGAAACTTCCAGAGATGAAGACTTGAGAAGTCAGTTGTACTGAAATGGTTCAAGCTCTTTATGATAATGATAAAGACTTAAAAATATGTTTTACAGACAAGTAGAAGGCATTAAAATTTTGCATGTGTTTGTTGGTGGTGACATTTAAAAATTCATTCTGTGTTTTAGAAAGATAATAGTGATTAAAAACATGGAGTATAAGATGACGGAAAAGGGGCTGGAGAGATAGCTCAGAGGTTAAGAGCACTGGCTACTCTTGCAGAAGACTTGGGTTCAAATCCCAGCAGCCACTTGGTTGCTAACAACTGTCCTTAACTCCAGTTCAAGGGGATTTGATGTTCTTCACAACATGGGTGCACTTAAACACATGCAGGCAACACACACATGCACATAAAATAAAAATAAAGAAATTAAAAGAAATTTTTTTTAAGATGACAAAGAAAGTGATAGCAAGGAATTAGGAGGTTTTGCAGTAACCTAGAAGAGTAACTATAAGAATGTGAGCTAATCTTTGTGTGAAGGGGAATAGTGTCAGGCACCATTTGGCGATGGAATTGATAAGACTAATAAGTAAAAGAATGGTGCTGTGAAAAGAGGGGATGACATTATCATCTCTAACTGGGTAGCTGGCATATGGCAATGCCATTGACCAAGATGTGGCATGTTAGGTATGCCACTAAGGCCTTCAGGTAGAAACATCACCAGATGTTTCCATCACCTGGTGATTGGAAAGGCTTTTCTGGATTTCTAAATGAAAGTCAGGATTTGAGAGTCACCTTTCTACATACAGATAGTCAGTCGTAAGTCTTCAAAGGATTTTCAGTAGAAAGTAAATGTCATAAAATAAGAGGTTAGCAGTCAAATAATTTGAGTTCATGGTTAGATTTAAGGAATGGGGAGAGAAAGAGGAGTTGCCAGATGTTGGTCAACAGGAGTGTTGAGGCAAGGAGTTACCAGAGGAGACAGCTGACTTGACAATGCAGGTACAGAATTCTGCACTGAATTTGGACCAGATGCTTCATAATCAACAACTCTCAGACATTAGATAGCAAAAGACATATACATAAATCATTGATCACAAAGATATTGATATGTTCACACTTAGATGCAGGAACTCTCATGCTAATCACAATTATTAAGAACTCTGAGTAACACTTAGATAAGTTAGTCATATTTTGCTGTCAGGTGAATTTAAAAAAAAAATTTTTTTTGTAGACCGGGCTGGCATTGAACTCACAGAGATCTACCTGCCTCTGCCTCCCAAGTGCTAGGATTAAAGGCATGAGCTGCCAGCCTGGCCAAATTCAAAAACTCTTTCATAAGGCTGCAGAGATGACTCAACAGTTAAGAGCCCTGCATGCTCTTGCAGAGTACCCAGGTTCAGTTCCCAACACCCACATGGTGGCTAACAACTGTCCATAACTCCAGTTTCAGGGGATTGGACTCCCTCTTCTGACCTCTTCTGACCTCCGTGTGCATTGCACAACAAGTGCTCTTACATACATGCAGGCAATGCACAAAAAATCAAAAGAATAAATAAAATATTTTAAAAATATTTTATTAGCAAAGATTCTTACACTTCAGACTATTGCAGAGAAGTGGAAGGCAGGCCATTGTGGGAGAAGTCACAAGTAAGAGACAAAGGAGAAACGGGAGCAAACTTTTTTTTTGATTAAAGGAAACAGTAAGACAGTGTTTGAAAGGAGAACCATGTCAAAAGAATAACTTTTTGTTCTGTTTTGTTGTTGTTCTTAATTATTATTTGTTTAGTTCTTGGTAGTTGTTGGTAGGATACTGTAATATTTGCAAAATTTTATAGATAGAGGGGAAGGAATGCATGATGAAATAGAAGTATGTACTAATGAACAAAAAGATAAGATTGCATAGCTCAGTGGTAGGATACTGGCTCCAGGTGCCCAGTCCCTGGATTAAGTCCCCAGTACTGAAAAAAAAAAAAAAAGTTGCATGCTTTTGGCTAGGCATGATGGTGCAAACCTATAATCCCAGGACTTTAGCAGGAGGATTAGTTCTACATAAGTCAGCCTCAGCTACATAGAGAATGTGAGGGCAACCTGTGTTCTATGTAACCCTGAGCCTTACACCCTACATATACACACAAATAAATAAGATAAAGGTAAATGATGGAAGCTAAAGCCTTAGAGGAGATGGAAGGGAGTGGCCCAGCCACACTGGTAATGACTAGAAAGTACCTTCCAAACAGGGATAGAGTCATGGCCCCTCTCAGACTGGTTCTAAGGGCATAGAGCTGGAATAGGCCAGTAGGGAATCTTGAGGTGAAAAGGACACAGAGTCTACACAGTTTCCATTTCTAAAAGAAGCAGTATGGTTGCAGCCTACGGCCAGGGTCAGTGTTCTCTCAGACTTCATAGTCCACCATCTTGATCAGAGAGCATTTTGATTTTCTCATTAACTCTCTCTAGTCAAGCTATTTCATGTACATGCACTTTATATTTGTCCCTATTTGACATTACTTCTCATAATTGCCTTTTGTTAGTTAAATTTTTCTTTTTTAAAATTTTCAATACATCTATACGTTTTAATCTTCAGACACAAGATTTTTCCATGAAAACACTATGATCATTTATCTTTCTCACTGTCGAAATCAATGTAATAAAAATAATCATATACTAAATGAAGAGTCAGAGCCAGGCGCATAGAAAAGGAATCATGTAGCCTTCTCGTACTGCCTTGAAGAGGGAATCAGCAGTTAAATCACAGAATTACTCAAAATTGCTCTGTTACCAAATTGAAGACTTTCAGTCAAAGAGGTAACATTGCTGAAATGAAGAAATATTTCCAGTATAAACTGGAGAGAACTGATAAATCAAGGACTCCTTCTCCTCAGTTTGGGACTCAGTGATGATTGTTTTTCATTGGCAAAAAGACAGGTAATATAACTGATTAGACAGTTGATATGATAAATTCATTAACTGAACTGAGTGTGATATAATAAAAGTAGATATACTTATGGAGAAAAACAAAACTGCAATTTCACACAAATTATATTCACCATTTACATTGATGAGTTGCTGCCCACATGAAAGACAGGTTTTAGGGATTCTGATCTTGTTTGATGTAACAAACATGATGAAGGTCACAAAATGGGGGAAAGCCTTGAGCTGCAGTGGAACAAGTAGGAGCATGATTCATATCCCTTCCCTGTGAATAGTGCACTGTCTTTCCTTTCCACTGATTTCATTTGCTTCAGAAAGTCTGCCTGCCGTGGCAGTTTATTAAATCACCAGTTTATGTTAACAAGGAAAGTGCCAGTTTTAGCCGTTGGAATCCACACTTTCCCAGTCTAAATTCCTCAGTGAATGGAAGCGCCACATCTAATGTTTGCAGTGTGGTGGGTTTATTAGTAGCACATCTTTCCTTGTTTTCCTTTCCTAACCCCAGCTCTTCTGTCTAGTCTGGTGCTATGATTATGAACTGTGGGCTTCTTTGTCTCTTGATGGCTTTTTTCTTCTTTATTTTAAATCTATTTTTTTATCTTTTTGTACAATTTTTATTGACTTTTTGTGTATTTCATATAAAAATCTTAATCGTCTTTATACCTCCTGTCCCATCCACATCCTCCCATAGACCCCTCTCCTCCAAACTGGATTTCACGCATTCTGTCATTTCTGTTTATGCCTATCAAGTCAAGTTAGTGTGCCTGGACTCCCTCAGTGCAAGTTCATCCACTGTGGTGTAGTCAGTCTCCCTCACCTAGCTGTAATCAGCTGCTAATAGTTCTTTGGCTAAGGTTGGAACCTGCTGCCCATTTCCCCAGTTTTATGCTGGGTTTTTGTCTGCTTGAGTTTGCATGGATCTTGTGCATGCCAACAATATCACTGTAGGTTCATATGAGCAAGGTCCCAGGAGCCCGTTAGACTCTGTTTCCATATGGTCATGCACCTCCTCCCTTGGCTTTTATAGTCTTTTACAGAGCTGCATCAGAGCACCTTTCCCTTCATCCTCCAAGTAAACATTTAGGTTGATTTTAAGTTGGAAAGGCTCATATTCACTAAAACACTATATGGAAAAGGTTAAATGTTCAGTATTTTAGTGGATTCTCTCTAACTTTGAGAACTATTGATGTTTCTTATATTCCTAAAAATTTACAGCCACTTTAGAAAGAGATGTATCCTTGCTCTGGAATGTGTTGTTGACTATGTTAAAGCTGTAATGAAATGCTTCTTCTAATCATGTGGTTATTAAATTTAAATTTTTTTAAAAAACTAGATTTTTCACATTCTCCTGGATTTTTCCTTTTAGCTCATAGACGTTCTAATTGTGTGAATTTTCTATTCATCTATTCAGTGTACCACTTCCATGACTGTAACAGAGCTGCTACTTAGTGGCCTGCAATAAGAACAGATGTGGCATGAAGTTTAATTATCCCCCTTTCCCAAGGCAAAAAAAGAGAATGTCTGCTTCATGCAACATATTTTAAGTTGTGCTTGGCTGCCTGAGGGTATGAAGTTTTCTTCATCCTCCTGAGGCAGCATTCCTTGCAAGAAAAATCACACTTTCTACCAAAGAGATGTATGTATCTTTGAAGTTCTCAGTGTGTTAGAAAACTGTTCAGTAAGAAAGTAGGCCTAAGAAAGGCATCCTTGTGAAAAAGTGAGTTGAAGAAATATCCTGCATGGAGATCTGATAGGAGCAACAGGGAATCACCTTGGTATTCTCCCCTAATAAGAAGGTGGCCAGAGGGGCTGGAGAGATGGCTCAGCAGTTAAGAACACTGGTTCTTCTTGCAGAAGACCTGGGTTCGAATCCCAGCACTCACATGGCAGAGCACTTGGGAGGCAGGGGCAGGAAGATCTCTGTGAATTTGAGATTAGCCCAGTCTACATAGAGTTCCAGGCCACACAGAACTACATAGTGAGAACCTGTCCCCAAATAATAATAATAATAAGAAGAAGAAGAAGAAGAAGAAGAAGAAGAAGAAGAAGAAGAAAGAAGGTAGCCAGATTCCAATCTGTTGCATTTTTTGAACATAGAACACGAGCATTAAAACTATATTGGGTTTCACAGACTTGACAGACTAGGCAGGCTAGACGTAAGTAGTCCCATTATTTAGCTGTCATTATCTCAATTCCATAGGTTAGGCATGCAGTGTTCTCATAGGTCAGGTATTATGCCTGATATACTAGACACTGTGTCACTGAGGAAGGCAAAAGTTGGTAGCAGCATTTATTCTATACTGAGCACCACCATAAACTTCACCTGTGGTCTGATGACTAGAAGGTCCTTTTGCTTTCTTCTCTCTCAGTAATTGCTAGTGCCACTTGGAATGAAACTTTGTCCTCCTTGGTTATGTAAGATTTTTATCTTTTGTCTTAGTCAATCTGTGAGCCAGTTATGCACTTTAACTAAATAATATTTTTTCTATTGCTATCAGAATTTTAGCATGAATATTAAATGGTAGATACCACTTCATGCTAAAACTGACTTTTGTTTTAAGACAACCTAAGGGAAATTTACCCCCTCGCATTTATTGATATTATCGATTTACTCTCCCCTTTTAAAGGGAGACTTCAAAATGAACTGTGACCAGCTTTTCTTCTCT